GTGTGTCATTGTTTTCATAGGACTCAATGCCATTCTGTTAATACTACATACACCACATGATCCAGTAGCTTCTGGATCCATCCTTGGTGTTAAAATTTTTTTTAAATTAAAGTAATAATTTTCTTTTTGATTTTTAGTATTTGACATTTAATTCAATTCAGTTCAGTTTTATTTTATAGCACAAAATCACAACAAGAGTTGCCTCATGGCGCTTTATATTATAAAGGTAAACACCTCACAATTATACAAAGAAAAAACCCAACAATCATATGACCCACTATAAGCACACACTTTGGCAACAATGGGAAGGAAAAACTCCCTTTTAACAGGAAGAAACCTCCAGTAGAACCATGCTCAGGGAGGGGCAGCCATCTGCCGTGACCAACTGGGGGGTGAGACAGGATAAAGACCTGCTGTGGTTAGCTCGCTCTGCTTTATAATGTTGTAATTTGAGGTTTGCGTGCATTTGCTTAAGGTCCCGCACACCGTCTCACAGCATTGAGGGCTAGACTTCGACTGGGTCTTTGCAGCACCTTGGTTCTTTTCTTTTACAGCCTATCTGTTATAGATTTGCTGCTGAGCTTGGGATCATTGTCCTGTTGGATGACCCAAGTCCTGTGGCTTCAAAACAAGCCCCCAAATGATCAACCCTCCATGCTTGTGCTTAACAGTTGGCATGAGGTGTTTGTGCTGATATGTTGTGTTTGGTTTTCACCAATCTTGGCACTTTGCTGGGCATCTCCACTTTGGTCATGTCTTTCCAATGCAAGCACTAAAGCCTTGACTTTTTTTTTCAAAAACATCTTTGCAAACCTAAGTCATACAGCCCTGTTTTGTTTTTGTTTTTTAAGGGGAGGCTTTCTCATGGCAGCCTTTCAAAAAAAGTTGTACTTTTTTACCAGTCAATCTTCATCTAATTGTGCTGTGACAAACTTTAACATTTAACACACTTACTGAGGCCTATAGACCCTGAGACCTATTGCTTGGAGGTGTTTTGCATTTCTAAGGCCGAGCATTGCATTGTTTGACTATATGGTGGATTTCCTGGGACGTCAGCTCCTGGGAAGATTGCAGCATTGAGCTAAAACATTCCTGAATCCTCCAGAATATCAAACTGTCAAAACTTTTTCTTTCATAGAGGTGCTCAGACTTGCAGATGATCAGTTAATCAAGGACATTTGATTAGCAGCACCCAGCTGCTACTGACCCTCTTAATTCCTATAAAAGCAGTAAGGGCGTACCCCTCTTACCCTTAACCCTTTCTTTTCTTTTTTTTTCTTTTTTTTCATAAAGTAACTCCCATATTTAGCCCTGTGTTCTCATGGAAACACAAAGGTTTTATTACTGGCAATGGGCGACCGTGGCTCAGGGGGTTGAGAATCGCATCTGTAACCGGAAGGTTGCCGGTTCGATCCCTCGGCTCTCTGTCCTGGTCGTTGTGTCCTTGGGCAAGACACTTTACCCTACTGCCTACTGGTAGGGCAGTAGGGGCCAGAGGGGCCGATGGCGAGTTATGGCAGCCTCACTTCTGTCAGTCTGCCCCAGGGCAGCTGTGGCTACAACTGTAGCTGCCTCCACCAGTGTATGAATGTGAGAGTGAATGAATAGTGGTATTGTAAAGCGCTTTGGGTGCCTTGAAAAGCGCTATATAAATCCAATCCATTATTATTATTAATGAGCAGACTTTATAAGGACAGCAGCTGAGGCGTGCAGCTCGGATCTCAGCTGACCCTTCTCACCCTGGACACAGTCTGTTTGACCTGCTCCCCTCAGGCAGGAGGCTCCGGTCCATTCGCACCAGAACCTCTCGCCATAAGAACAGTTTCTTCCTCTCTGCTGTTGGACACATGAACAATAACCATATGACTGTTCCCACCACTAACACATGACCCTACGCTGTGTTCACTGCATCATTCCATGTTTGGCACTGATCACCACCTGCACTCATGTATATATCTTTCTACGTAGCACTTTAATTCTTATTCTTATTTTTATTTTTTCATGTCTATTTAAGCGTGATTTATGACAGTATGTTTGCACTGAAGCACCGCAGCAATTTCCTAATGTTATAAACCTGCTCAACATTTGGCAATAAAACCCTTTCTGATTCTGATTCTGATTCTGATTCTGATTCTGAAACAGTGGTGATTTGGCACTTTTCAGCCAGAGACAAAGATTTGGCCTCAGCTCTCGCGGCGTTCACCTGCTTTTGATTCGACCATGCCATAATGCAGCACACGCAAGTTAGTGGAGCAGGCACAGCTGATGCCCTCAGACCCTAACCACTGTCATGGGGATGCTTGGCACGTTATTTCTCTCACACACACCTACATGTGTGCACAAATAGACACACACATACACTCCCACACAGACTAATCCCCAGCCACAGGGAGTGAAACACAGGTCAAACATGACGTAAAGTCCCCAGACCGTACTATAGTGGGTGTGTGTGTGTGCGTGTGTGTAGGTGCCTCAGCCAGCATCCTGTGGCCTTCGTTGTTTTAAGTTATTACCTGGGGGAGCAAAAGGGGAAAAAAAGAGGAAGGAAAAGGGGGAACAGGAAACACAGGTTAGGTCAGTCGTGCTGGTGGCAAAGTCAAAAAGACAGAAAATTAGCTGTGAGTCATGAGAGGAGGAGACAAACAAGGTGACGGGGGCAAGGGCTAGGAAGAGGAGAAAGTGGAGGTAGATGGGGGGGCAGTGGAGGATGGCAGGGGGAGCATTACAGAAAGGAGGAATAAGTAGACAGACAAAATCACAAGCCTCTGGGTATGTACAGTAGCATATAGCACAGGAAGGAGGGGAAATGTTTGAGAGAAAGGGGGATGGGAGGGAGAAATGGAGCGAAAGATGGATGCGTAAGAATTTGGGCTGTACTCACCCATGACTTGGCCAAGGCAGGGCCCTTCATTACAGGCTCCCATCAAGACCTGCTGCCTGTAATGTGCTGGAAAATAGGCAGTAACACTGTGATCTGTTTTATGCACCCTGCTCTGCTCCAGAGACAGCTGCTAACACGCACTCACAGAGGCACGAACTGTGGATGTCCACAGAACTGCACATGTGCATGCAAAGGCAAATGCATTCACAGACAAATTCAAATAGATTACATTAGTGCATACCCATTTCTGAAAGCATTAGATAATATGTGTAAAAACAGTACATAGGAAGGCACACATACTGCAAAACACCTGAGTAACTTACAATATAATCAGTTTGTATTCTGCAATTAGTTTGAATTCTGATTTCATTTCGATTTTTTTTGTGTTCAATACAGTTTAGTTTCTGAAGCAGATAAGCTCATTTGAGTTTAGTTTTTATCCACTCTTTCATTTTCTTCTGCCTCACCAGTTCAGGGTTGCAGGTGTGCTAAAGCGGTCACAGGGCGAAAGGCAGGGTGCAATGCAAAATGATGATTTTTAGTTTAGTTTTTATTAGCTAGTCTTAAACTGGTTATTGCAGTAAAAACAAAGCACTTTGTGAAGGCGGTTGACTCCAGGTCACGCACACCTGCTAATTTCTTAATAAACAAAATCAGCAAAGTCTCATCCAGGCAGGTTGTGATGACACATGTGAACAAAATGTCAAAAACATATTTTCTTTTAGTTTAGTGAATTTCGTAAGTTCACAAAATCTTTTTTGTCAGTTTATTTTTCTCCAAAAGTTGGGTTATTTTTTACACCAAGTTTGACCTTTTTAGAGTTTTAGGTTAAGTTTTAGGCACAGACATTTTCATTTAGACACATGTATGATTCTATATAGCATCAGTCTAGTGGTTAAAAAGGTCAAACTAGAGTGTGTGCTTTCTCGTCTTGTGTTTTAGAAGACTCCCGCTGTACTTGTGTTTCTCTGCCTTTGTGTCCATGTGACTTTCAGCGAATTGTGATATCATTTTATTTTGATTGAATCTGCTTTGCTCAGAGAGTTAGCATCAAGGTTTGTTTCAGCGCTCATTGTGATAGAAACATGGCCGCATGCCAATATTAAGAAAGAATATTGCTGTTGCATTGTGTTATTACTTATTATTACATGTTTCCCATTTGTCTTGACCCAACATGACACTTGTTCGGTGTAATATTATATCCATTGTCACTCATGTTGACACCTTCTGCTTGTTTGATCAAGTCAGATTCATTAGAAACACATTAAGAAGACAGCCTGTTCAAAGGTGTGTTGCCTCATATTGTAGAAGCAGAAGTCCATTTTATAGTTTTGATTCCAGACTATAAATACTAAGTATTTACACATGAATTACTTTTTAATCCTATTTTACTCTTAAGGGGGAAAAGGATTGAGAATTTAATTTCAATGAAATGTCAACACTGAGTGTCAGAATTCGACAGACAATTCAGACGTTACACTTTGTAGGCTGAAAGATAAAAAATTAAGTTGAAGATGCGTTAAATGCTAAGCATTTTGCCCCTAGTTTTTAAGCGTAATGCACACCTGGAAACGGTTTTGCTAATTCTGGTATAATGTGCAAAGGTTTTACCTCAACTATGATTAGGATAACAGATTTTGAAAACACGAGCACTTTTATTTATTTAGGTTTTTTTCTGGAAAAAACAGCAAAGCATAATTTATCCATTTTTCAACTGCATCATGTACCTAGTGCAGCATTAATTCTCTTTTTTGCTTCCCTTACTCTCTGTTGTTTAGGTTATGCAATACTGCAGGCAATTATGGAGCGAGCGGGGCAGAACGGATGGCAGGTCAGGACACACACAAATGCGCAAATTCTTGGAAACCTGCTAAAACACACACACATGCACAAGAATTGTCATGCTTTCTCAGAGCGCACAACTAGTATATTAATTTAAACATCCACATGCACACACTGTGCTCCCATGCTGTGTATTCACATTTCTGTGATTAGTTCTTCAAATAGCTTTTTCATTTGCTTGAGGTTTACATGCATGACTCTATCCATGATGTCTGCTCTTGTGTTCCTGCGCGCATTTGACATGTACAGGTGAGTGCAATCTGTGTGGAGAGTTTCAATGAGGCGGCGTATCGGAGACTCTTAGAGGACCTGGATCGACGGCAGGAGAGAAAATATGTCATTGACCTGGAGCCTGAGAGACTACAGAGCATCCTGGAACAGGTACTGTTATTGGGAAATTTAACCAACAAGATTGTGAATACTTCAGTCTCAAATCCAAAATAGTGCTTAAGCCAGCAAACCATGTAACTCATATTAGTTGAGTATGGAGGTTGAATATGGAGAGATTTGTGGTGCAGATAACTTAGCAGGATGGAAAAACATGGAATAATTAACAGGTCTATTAAATGTTAAATAATTCTGTTTTAGAGTAAGTTTGAGGTTGTTATTGCCATTTATTAATGGCTACATTACATTTACAGCATTTATAAATACTCTACAGTCCCTGGTTACAAGTAATAAAAGGAATTTTTAAAATGTAAAAAAAGAATTATCCAACTGCTGGTGCATGGAGGTCTGACACTGATCTGGATGCTAAACAAGATCATGAGATCGAGTTAATGGCTGCCCAAATATCACTGAGTGAGGGCAGAGATGACATTACTGACCTGCACTTAACACTTAATGAGATACAGCCAAAGCACAATGATGCGTTTTTAGATCCTTTTAACCACATAATAGGTTGTGTTAAGTAATGAGGTGAGACCCTGTGAGAAATAGTGAAAACAATTAGAATTAAAGTTAAGTTACTAATGACTGTAGTACCACATACCGTAATGGAGATTTTTCACCGCACCACTAGTGTCTGCCGACTGTCTGCTCCACTCAGCTGGTTGCAGCAGCTCGCCTGATGCTTTCTGACATCTGGAAAGAAAACAAGATTTGAGCTTTTCCCTGGAGTTCGTAAATGTGGAATGAAAAACTGTGACTTCCCCAACAGCTACATCAGTGTGTGATTGCAGTAATGACAGTAAAGAGTCCTATCGCACACAGATTTCAAGCATATACCCACGTAATAAATATCAAGGCATGCGCTCGGACACCTTATGGCTGTCTGAGTTCATTAGATTGTCTGTCTTGTTTGATGGTTAAGTCTTAAGCTCTGACAGGTCTCAGGAGTGTGTGTGAGAAAGAGAGAGCATGTGACTCAGGGCTGCAACATCCCATTGGTCCTGCCACCTGTCATTACATGTGATCCTCACTTTGCATATGTGATAAACTCACTAACACAAACATACACACAAGCACATTCACTAATGCACATACCTCTCAGAAACTCCTACAATTACTGGTAACACACAGAAATTTAATATATGTAAAAAAAAAAAGCTAAAATTACAGCATTACAATGCACATAGTCATACAGATACACAGACACAAACCCACACTAGTAGCGGCATCTCAGACACACAGACTGTTTCTTAATTGGCTTCTGTGCTGAGTGAACAGACAGACAGGAGGCGCACGCACAAACGCACACATGTGTACTGAGACGGGCATACAGACACAAACACACACACTAGTCAGCTCTGCAGAGCTGGCACTGGCTTATATCCCTGCTCTGAGACAGAGACTGCTCTGTTTGTCTGCCCCTGCCAGCTGCGATCTTTGTGTGTGCACGCGCGTGTGTGTACGTACATCTGTCTGCGTCAGTACAAAGCCGCTGATATGTGTGGGTGAGAGAGAGACAAAGAAAAATGTGAACAGTTTGTTAATTAGGTTTATGCCACTTGTTAATCTCAATATGCATTCGACCACTTTGTCAGAATTCCCACAGTCTGCTGTATTTTCGCTCCATTTCCCTATATGGATAATATCAGTGACCAAAAACTCACAGGTTTTAGTTTTGAGCAGAAATATTTTTACCTTATAGGTCACATTTGAAATCAAATAGCAAACAAAAAAAAAAAAATGAAAAGAGTGAAATCATCTGCAGCTTTTATAACCCATATATTGTGTTTGGGTCAGACTTGACCTGTTTTCAAGTTTAGGTAAAGTATTATATGCTTTCTTTCAGTGGAACTACATTTCTCAGAAGCAGCTATTTCAACAGAACAAATTAAATTTTATCATTTCAATTTGAATGTCTCCAAAAGACAAAGTACTGGCTGTTTTCTACATCACTAAAACATTTTAAAAGTCTGCAGAGTTTTTAGCCAGCATGGTACCAAAGTCTTCATCATTTTATCCTCCTTTAATCAGCATAATAAAGTAACCACAGCACCACTGTTAAGGAAGGTAATGGAGCAAGAGATGGAGGAAATCACCTTTTTGTCCTTGTCACCCCTGTCGTGCTCCCTAATGCTACTTTTCCCCTGGTTTCCAAATTAAATCCACGTTTTCTCTCCCCCTCTCTCTTTTCAGGCTGTCAGTGTGGGGAAACATGTCAAAGGTTACCATTACATCGTAGCAAACCTGGTAAGGATGCTGGCGTTGCTTTCAACTGTTGTCCTGCTGTTTTCTGAAACACGTTTCCTACAGTGTTGGTGTAATATTTTATTCCAAAAGCCTACTTAAGGAATCCACAGTTGACATGCAATACTAGACAAAACAAGATGGACCTTTGAAGAAGAATTCTTCAAGTCTTTGTCGTTACAGAGTTGGAGATTTTCTGCAATGATTAAAAAAAACATTATCTTAATTATTTTCTATTTATTTCTACCAGATCCTATTATGTATTTTACTAAATTACTATTTTATCATGTGTCTCTCCTTGACAAAGTCACACCTTTGGGAAGCTGCTGGAATCAAGCTCAATAAAATCAGCATTGTTTCAACCTTAATTCCTGAAATCTTTTGAACAGTAGTTCTCTCCAGGACAGTGTAAAAGGGTCCGGCTCAGGTCAGGTTAGATGGAATTTCATTGCTCTTAGTGATTCCTCAATGTTACAAAGTTTCCACTGTGGGGATGTAATCTGGAGATCTTAGTTTGTGGGAGGACTTTGAACCTTAGATCAGGGGTCTCAAACATATGGCCAGGGGGTCAGAATTCGGCCGACAAGGTCTCCAATCTGGATCACTGGACAGTTTTGGAAAATGTGAAGGAAGGCTTAAACTTTGGACTTTTAACTAAAGTTTTATGTTTTACAGCTTTTCCTGCTCATAAAGACATCCCCCCATGGCCATTCATACGATACCGAAGTACTTGAGTAGCAGTTAATCAATTAAATGATCTACTGTAGAAAGTTCTGGGTTTTGTTTGACTTTTACAGTGGTTCCACAGTTAGAATAAATACATAAACAAAATAAAACACATTTCTTTATCAGAAAAACTGAGACTTTTTTCTTACATTAAGATATCTCAGGCAATAAATGTGTAGTTAGTGAAGTGTACCTTCTTTACACTGATTAAATGGTTGTTTCCTTGGATATTTCATAAGATGAATATGGACTGCATTACATCGTCTGGTCTGAAGGTTTTTGTGGTTTTTGTGTTACATTGTTCCAAACACATTTCTTTATTTCTGTCATGCTTTTGGTCTACCCAGGGTTTCAAGGACATATCTTTGGAAAGGTTCATGCACGGCGGGGCCAATGTGACCGGGTTCCAGTTAGTGGACTTCAGCAAGCCTATTGTCATAAAACTTATGCAGCGCTGGAACAAACTCGATCAGCGTGAATACCCTGGATCTGAAAGCCCACCTAAGGTAATAAAAACACGTTGCTCTATCATTGAATATGCATTTTGGAAATCTGCGTCAGACAGAGGTCTCGGTACGTGAAACATAGTCTTGTGTGGTATCTGAAGCACTGAAATAAATTCTACAGCAAAATATGAAATGAAGAAAATGCAGGACTTCCATTCAGACTTACTTCAAAAATGCATGGTATTGAAATAAACAGTTACTTGAAGTGCACACACACACATATTACTGCCATTGATGTGCAAATTGCTCTTTGTACCTGAAATTCAACGCAAAAGCTGCACGGAAGGTTTTCAATCAGGTATCCAGCCACAGGGGGATACGCAGTATTTGAACCATTCAGAGTGTGATGTGGTGCATGTGTTACAGCTTCTTAGCCAATCAGAGCATGACCTCAGAATGTGGCAGTGAAAAGGCTTATCTGTGATTAAGTCTCAAGGTTAACGTGATGCATACAGATTATGTAGACTAAAGACTTTGGTGTTCTGTGTCTGTTTAGAATAATATTCTGCTGTCATGTGTCGGCTCTGTCACCTATTTACTCACTTTTCTGAGATATCTTTCTTTAACCTTTATAGTTCCAGCTCCCTATAGATATTCACAATTAAATCCCTTGACAGAGCACTGACCTGTGGGTCTATTTATAGAAAAAATGTCCACCTACCCATTAAAAATACATCAGCTGTCAGCCCTCTGCCCGCTTGCTGAAATTGTTTGTATTCAATAATCCTCAAAAAAACACAATAACGCAGTAACTACTAGTAACTAGTAACAGTGATGCAAATATATATTTATGGTTTTACGATTTCTAATTGGCACGCTATTTTTCACCCAGTCCCAGTGTTAATGAGCTAATCATCAGTTTTAGATTCACCTAATGAATTCTCATTAGTAGATGTCAGCTTCATCAATCGTCCCTTAACATTTACACAACATTTAGTGTGTTAATTGAGGTAAGCCTATTATGCATGATTGTGACAGATAAACACAGTGAACATATTTTGATGCACAAAACAGAAGCAAACACACCTGTAAGTGCTCAAATCTCAAAACCTCTAAACATCTTTGTTTAAGTGCATTCAGAGAAGGTATTTACTTTTGCTGCCATGTACATATACTGTGTTACAAACCTGGAAACAATGATTTGAATGATTTAACAGTAACAGAAATCCAGTTACCTCTTGTGACAACAGATGCCTCCAAATTGCTCTTGGCTAATTTTTGCTCTGTAAACAAAAGAAAGAAATGAGCTCAGTTAACCTTGGGGCAACTGGTAGCCTTAGGCCAAATAAAAATGTGGCCTGATAATGGGCAGGGTGGGAAATACTACTGAGAATTGTCCCTTCTACACTTGAGGCTGGAATTTGAGCCGCCCATCAATCAAAATCTCTTAACTGCTGGTTTCTCTTTGTTTTGCTTGGAGATTTTGTTGAAAAGTAATTGTCAAAGAAATATATTAAGCTCATTAAAATGTTGTATATAATAATTAGGATCACTTCAGGAGATACAAACAATTTTTCCAAATTTCTTTCAAACACTTGATCTGACTTTATGAATGTTGACCACATCTGTGTTAACAGATTTAATCAAAATGATTAGTAAGAAGGATTTAATAATGATCATCGTGATAATAATCTTAGTAAACATTAGATTTACTCACTTAAACTCTACTTTTAGTTATTATTGCTGGTATGAAATTAAATGTTCAGATGTTATTTCCCTCTCAGAAACTCATTTAATATTTTTTTCAATGTAGTGTTTAAATTTTTTTTTCTTTTTGTTCGTCTATTAACTTCTTGCACAATCCTGACGTTTTCCATCTTTCTTGTTATTGCTTTTAATCAAATCCAGTTTATCCGTTTTTTTTGTTTTTTTTTGAGCTATTGTCACAGGAAAGACACCCAGGTTCAGAACTTATAGGTGGAAAAGATAAAAAATTAAACATTCATATTGGGTAGAAGGCAGCAGCCCTACTTTAAAAAAAAAAAAAAGAGCACACAAGCGTAAAAACACAGACACTCTGAAAACGACCAAAATGACACAGGACTGTATACAGAGCGATGAGAGGAAACACAATGGGAACTAGATACAGCTGAGATTAAGCAAGACAATGAAAAGACAGTAAAACTAAAAGCAAGTCAAAAAGAGACAAACAACTCACAAAATAAAACAGGACGTAACAAACAGCTAACAGACAACGTCTCAAAAAGAAGGAAATGCTGGAGAGACAAAATTAGAACAGAACGTAACAGTAAAAGCCTTCACTCACAGACCGTACCTTTCTCCCTCTGAACGAAGACGAACTCGTGCTCAGCCAGTGTTATTCATGACGCCACGTTAAACGCTGTCATGCAAGGACACATCTATAACAGATTCAACAACCCTGGATATCTGGAAAACCAAAAACCCTTCTCAAAACAGGAAATTACAACTATACATGGAATTAAGTAAGGAAGGCTTTGGCTACAAGACAGCAAACAAACAGCAGCTTTCAGTGAAACAGCCTGCAGCATCCAAACCCAGAGAATAATCAGAAGCATGTATTTTCAGTCATCATATTGTCACAGTCATGGGAATTGTGGAAAAGGAATTTGACCTGATGATCAGACTGTGAATGCCAGGGTCAAATACCAAGTCCAAAATTTTTCAGGATCAAGTTTTAGCTGTAACATCTACCCAACAGCAGAATTTTGCTCTGTTTGATTTTTGTTCTTTTGTTCTTTGCGTGACAGTAAAAGAGGTGAAGATTCAGATGTGGAAGTCATCAGAATACTTCCAGGAGTGATCTGAAAACAGCAGGGGAGCCATAAGAGAGCTACACAAAGACAGTGAAATTTAGGTCAGATATGGTTTTGGCTCGAATTGGATGGAGTCGTTTACATCACAAACTTAGTTAGCAAAATGGCATTTTTATTAGCTTTAAAGATAAATAACAGCTGATGCTACTAGAAATAATTTTAGTTTTTCTTGCATTTGATTATACTGGACAATGTTCAAGTCCTTCCACTTGCAAAAGGAGGGATTTGATCATTTCACTTTTTGCAAAGCGTCATAGCTGCATAAATTTTTATAAATATGTGTGAAAAATGAAAACTACTTGGTTCATCTTTATATATTAATCATAAAGCCGGTCCCTGATATTTTTCTCTAAATGTTTTATCCTGTTTGAAAACTTAAAGATTGAATCTGATCCTGGGGAACATTTTCTGAAACTTTGTGTTTTTAAAAGGTAATTCTGTTTCTTTGTGCCCCCAAAACATTTGTACTCTACTCCTGACATAAACTGAAAGTTAGAAAACTACTTGGCTCACTTTTTGTTTTCTCTGTGATTCGGATAGTCTTCATCTGTCAGTCACATGCCTAAAGGCTTTCCTTAGTTTCAAAGGGTACAGATGAAAGGAGGATGACACAGTTGCGTAGCCTTGCAAAAAACACCTTGTGGGATACAAATCAAGGGATGTCAATAAGAGAGAAACTACCTGCAGAGGCGTGGAAAGCATTGGCAAGAGAATCTCAGCCGACTTGCCTGCATCCTTCCATTTTCATCCCTCCACTTCTTTCTGTCGCGATGTGAAGGCAGCCTGCTGAGTGTTTGACTGCCTCCATCTGTGTGGAGCTGCGTGTCTGTGTGTGTCCTGGGTGGGGGTGTTGCTGCTGAGTGTGTGTGTGTGTATTCTTCCCTGCAGCGCTGTGTCTTACCTATAATGAATTTGTCAAGCAATCTGTCAAGACCACCATCACTTGCAGGGTTTCATCAGAGCACAGACACTGATAGTGTCTTACATTGAATTAAAATTAATAGCAAGTCATTTTAAAGGTATTAAGTCTATTTTATAATACAACCCAGTGAAACAGTAATAAGCGTTTGTAAACCTTGGCAATCAGCATGACAAAGAATTATGGCATATTTGAAAAACACGTTTATGATATAATTTAACTCATTTAAATGGCTTCAATGTCACGTACAGTGACTTTATTTAAAAACTGTAACTCTGTCTAATCCTGGCACATTTACAGTGATGTTACATTTATAGTGGTGTTGATTGATATTTACTGGAGAAATAAAATAAAAGTCAGAGCAGTGAGATAGACTGTGGCACTGGTCACAGTTTACATAATGACCATGTTCCCTTATGTAGAGTTATGATGGTCTAAGCCTGGTCAAAAGATGTGAGTGGGTAGTAATACTGTTGTAGAAAAACATTCTTGGAAAGCAACAAATATTCTGAAATACTTCACACTAAACATTTTAATGCAAAAGGATAATAAAACAGTTTTTAGGCAATTTATGTTATCAGTTATATAACATGAAGGACCTAAGATATACATACAGTTCTATACAAAGTTTAGGCTTGTCAAAGAGGTAACCTTTGTCCCCTCTCTCTTTTTCGCAGTATACCTCATCTCTGACTTATGATGGTGTCCTTGTAATGGCTGAAGCCTTCCGCACCCTTCGCCGTCAAAAAATCGATATCAGTCGCCGTGGCAATGCAGGTGACTGTCTGGCCAATCCAGCTGCTCCTTGGAACCAAGGAATAGATATGGAGCGTGCGCTCAAACAGGTTGGCTCAATTTCACTGATAGTGTACAAATTTTATAATAGAGTGAATGCTAAATGAATTATCCATTATCACATGTAAACACACAAAAAACAAATGAAATGAACAAAACAAAGAAGAAAGACTAGGATTGTTGCTGATGTAGAATTTTTATTTTTTTTTGCTTTCACCTGAAAAGCTGGAGGTAAATAGGTTGTAAATAATCTGAAACAAAATGGTAGCAGAAAAAATTACTGAAAAGGTTTTAAACACTAACTAAACTAATTAAACCATTCAGATAAACTCTTAGTTTTGTGCCTTTATTTTGGAAAGTTAAATCCAAGTGCTTTTATTTTGAAAATAAGGCATACAGTACATGGATGCTCTGTTAGGGACTGCGGCTGTTGTCTGTTGTGAATCGGTAGAAATTTTGTGGTCATAATGTTAAAGTTGTGGAGGTCCCAACCATTTGATGATAAAAACAGCACATGACAGAACAAAATATTATGGAAATAAATGCTTTGGTCCAGTTGTTTTAAAATACTGTATCAACAGGACTTCAATTGTCTCTATGTTTATACTTGTACTGCCGTATTTCTATATCTTATCAATTTATATTAATGTCTCATGTACTTACCCATCAGCGGTATTTGCCTCAGACTTTCAGTGTAATGTTTAAAGTGAAAACGAGACAATATTAACTTTAATTAGACTTGGCCTCTAAAAGCAAAGACAAACTAACGCTTAATGACAACAAATGAGGGGCAACCTAAGAATCAACAGAGAACATTAAACAACAAACTCAAAAACACTGGGTCAAAAACCCAGCACCGTTAAAGTATTTGCATTCATTAATTCTTCTGTTTATAGTTGCTTAGTGGCAGCAGCTAACATTCCCACACTCAATTCAGGTTTTCAGCTTGGGCACAAAGTGTTCATAGGAAACAATGCAAGCGTTTCGTTTGGCATAATTGAAATAAATAACGGGTATCAGTCTTAATGTTAACTGTGCATCAAATTATTGCTAATGGAAACTCAATTTTGTCTCTGTTGCAACATCCCGTTGCAGTTATTGAACTATTTGTTTAAGCACCGCTTGCTTGGCTTCACCATGAAGACAAAAAAAGAAGCCCAAGCACTCCTATTGTACTCCTGACTGTTCACTGAGTGTCTGCGATCTTAAACATCTGTATGAACTATTTTAGTTTTATGTTTCTACTGTTACAATTCATCCAGGTGCGCATTCAGGGCCTGACTGGGAATATTCAGTTTGATCACTACGGTCGGAGGGTGAATTACACGATGGACGTGTTTGAACTCAAGAGCAATGGCCCGCGCAAGGTAAAAGTTCCTCATGCATTAAAAAAAGACAAGGACTATAAATTTTTGAGTCCAGATACTCACAGCAATACCATGAGCAAAGTATTTTAGACCGTGTTTCTAAAAAGCCATGTTAAAAGACAGGAAAATGCAAAGAAAATGCTGTTTATCTTAATTTGAGCAAATGCGATGCCTCAGCAGGATATATACATAAATCACAATTAATTTAAACAATTCCTGTTAATTTGTATAGTGCTTCATTCTTCATTCAGCCTCCATTCATAAAAAAAATAATTTACGCCATAATTATTTTCATAATTCTTAATTAATAACTTCTGTTTGCAATTATGAATACCATTAGATGACTGCAATCAAACCAGCCATCACAGCTTGTGTATATTAATGGCTTTTTGGAGTACACACTGGAGATCAGCTCCCAGGCAACCTGGGGGTACATAAAATCTGCAGTGACATAAATAAGTAAAGTTTGAACATAATCTGTCTCAATAAGAGAAGAAAGTAAGAGGACAGGATGTCATTTGGAACAGCTTATAAATTCTCTATACTGGAAAATCACATACATGTAGCCCCAATAATAAAGATATAGCACCATGTTCCAGCATCGCAATTGTTCCTTCGACAGCGATGTGTGTTTATTGAAGGTTCTTGGCTCACACTCAATATCTCCTACAGTTCCAATGGGAAATTTCCTGGAGTTTGCTCAATCTGATTTATCTTTCTCTCAGTCTCATTTTCTCCTATTTCGCCTTCTCATTTCCTTTAATGATTCTGTTTTACCTTTTCTGTCTCGATTGTATTGCATGCATGTCGAATTACATTTTGCATAAATTGTGCGAGGGTAAAACTGATTGAAAGTACATTAAACTATATTTTCATGGATGTTTTTTCTCTTATCCCTCTCATTCATCTTCTCCTACTCCCATATATCCCTCTGTTTACCTCAGATTGGTTACTGGAACGACATAGACAAACTTGTGTTGGTCCAGAATGAAAATGCTCTGTCCAATGACAGCTCGGCTATGGAGAACCGGACTGTTGTCGTGACAACTATCATGGTAATGTACCATCTGACTGTTTTCATTTCTCCATTGTTTGGGTGCTATTTGGGTGAAGCTCTCCTTCAGCGCGGACACTCAGTCGTTCCAAAATACATAGCCTAATGTCACCAGAATCTTGATTTGACTTGAGCACGTACGCAGAGACTTGAAGTTTATGTTGAAAAAAAATTACACACCAGAAAAAATATGATAACCATATGAAATAAGTTTTTATTTTACATTTTTTTCCAAGCAAGATTAGTAAGTGGAAATTGATGGAATAGGAAAACTATAGGCAGAGAATTTCTCATATACAGAACACCCACTTAGAATATTTCACAGGGGATAGGATACACACTAACCAGTCACTTTATTCGGCACCCCTGATCGAGTGGTATAATGCAAATACCTAATCGGCCAATCACATGGAATCGATTCAGTACATTCAGCCATATGGACATAATCAAGATGACCTGCTGAAGTTTAAAGTGAGCATCAGAATGGAGATAAAGGGGGATTTAAGTGACTTTGAATTAGGCATGGGTGTTGGCGCCAGCTTGCTGATGTTTCAGAAACTGACGACCTCCTGGGCCAACAAAGAATGGCCCAGAAAAGAGAAAATATCTAGTGAGATGCAGTTCTTTGGGTAATAATCTCTTGATGCCAGAGGTCAGAGGGGAAAATTGCCTGACTTCTAGCTGATTGCAAGGCAACAGTAACACCAGTAACCACTTATTGAAGCCAAAATAGCAGCACATCAATTCGATTCAGTTTGATTGTATAGCCCAATATCACTTGTAACTGTTCGAAAGGATTCACAGGCATAAAAACATTAATGCACAGGATGTCCAACCTTGAAGCAGATGAGCTACAACAGCAGAAGAGCACACTGGCTGTAGCAACTGAAGCTACAATTCCCAAGGATTCATCAAAATTGAACAATCGAAGGTCTAATGATCCTTGATTTATGCTGAAACAAGATGAAAAGCATGGAGCCATCTCCGTGTGGTTGAAGCTACTAGAAGTGACCTAATGTCAGAAAGCTCACATCATCTCAAGCTGGTTTCTTGAATATTGAAAAATACTCAGATTAGCCTCCACCTTTTGCATTTTATCTTCTAATAGCAAGTGAGAATCTTGTTTTTAAGCCGCATCACTCCTTTTCATTGAAGGGTGTCTTGAAAGTACCCTCTAGGTGAACTGGGGCTATTTTCAGTACAATTAAATAAGGGAGAAGTGGGCATGTGTCATCCCTTAGTGCTAATAGAGTCTGCCATGAATATTGCAGTCTGTACTGTGGGGAAACAATGGCCACAACATTAATGTGATAATACGAGGCTAAAGTGCCCCTTTTAAGTGTTGTTAGACTCGTCTGATGGTTCACAGGACGATTGAACCCTTAAGTCTGGACAATCTGGCTTTTCAGTCAGCCTCTGGCACACTCTCACCTCAGCCATTGTTTCAGCGTCCATGGGAAGTGTTTGGAAACTTCCACTTATCAAAAAAAGAAATGTTTTTTTAGCTTGGACCCTCTTTGTTTTCTTTTTATTGGTGGGGGCCATACATTATTCAAATGAAAACGGTAATGCGTCCGCTGATTACTGATTACACACGATCGTAACCAGTCAACATATGCAATCACTTTTCGTAGAGAGGGAAGTTACCACAGTTACTTTGTGGATACTGTAGAACTGATAGCGCTTCAAGTCCAGCTCTGTGGTGAGGTTTACCTGTCTTTGTGGTCTTTTTGGATACATTCAGCATCAGAAAGCTGGAGGATGAAGTCCAACAAGGGCACAACATGGCACCGTTTTAACACTGAAAGAAAAATCAGCCTGGAAGTGGACGAGCTGGATGAGTTCAATAGAGCCCTCGCAGTACAGCCAGGAGGGAGTGGCACTTGTCCACCTGGAAGATTTCACTAATGTCTCATTAGTAGGCAAATCCAAAAGTGACCTCAGATCACCATTTAGAAGTGACCTCAGTCCAATCTCTTCTAATAGCTTTCACATAGACACTGCTCTGCAGCCCAGTTTAATTATTCCTCTTTCTTCTACAAACAAGGATAAAGGAGGGCTAATCGGTGGATGTGTGCACATCCTCCGCTTACATTTGATTTCACTTCACCCATCTGCAGCGTTTTTATGGTGGCCATCCCCTTCCTGTAAATGCAATCAGTCTAATTCAATTTGGCATGCAAAGTGATGCAAGTGAAAGCAACTCAAAAGACTAATTTCAGCCCAGAGATAAAACAAGCCACAGATGCTCGGGCTTTAATTCGGTGTTTTGTTTTAAGGCACATTGCATCGTTTCATCCAGAAAACTCAAATGTGACCAAAATATCTGCAGTTGTACTTCGCCATTGCCCTCCCCTCATGCAAATACTTACAAACAGACAACGGCTCAAAAATGTTGATTTGAGAGTGCAGTGAGTCTACAGTGCCTCCGGTGGCCAGATCCAGTCATCACTCCTGCTGGCGCAGAGGAAAACAGCCGCGCATGCTGCTGTAAAGAGTTCAGAAACACTAAATCAGCTGGATTAGGTGTTTGAGCTTCACCTTCAGCCATGCACATTTCAGCTGGCAATATATCAAACTACACTGCAGTGTTTGGTTTGGTGACTCGAGTCAGGTGCAAGAGAAACATACAAACACATCAACAAGATCAGATACTTAAAAGGGCAATTTAGTAATCTGTGACAGTGCAGTGCTGTTTTCTGTTTATTTTGTACTGTGTCAATACATTAATCTCATTTTGGTTGAAGAGCTGGTGTTATGAATAAATTAGTATGGTGAACAGTGTGTACATGCTTCCGTTGTTTATTTCCCTCTGTCATTCTATAATATGTCTGTCATTCATCTGACATTCCAGCACATCTGTCCTCGTACTCCCCTCATCTCTCCTTCGTCTTCTCGATTCTCTGTAACTGTACTCACCTCTTCAGCCTCCCCAAACCTTTGTTTTCTACCTCCATGCCTGCAGTCTTTGCATATTTCTCTGTGGATGGTGACCTCAGCAGGGCTTGACTAATGTTAGCTCAGCCACCTCCTCCTCTTTGCAGCCTCTGGTGATGAGGAAACCTCTGCAGCGACACTGATGCCGAGTCTGCAGACAAACCAACAGACAGAAAACACAGACCCTCGAAAATGACTGAGAACAGACAGCCTGATAGAGTTTCTCTAAAGCTCTTAAAGGACTTATCTTTCTTTTCTTTTTTTTCTGTATAACATTTTTTTTTCAATTATTTGGTTCTGACATCATATATTTGCTTAGATGAAGATGGCTAAGAAATAACGGCACAGAGAAGAGACGAGAAGGAGGATCATGGCCCTGTGAGGTTTTGGGCTGACTTGCTCATTGTGCTCCTGTCTTCCTCTCGTAACAAAGCTACCACCAGATGAAAGCTCTGCAATGGATTCTGCAGCGTCTGTCAAGGTTTGACATTTGGTTGCACAAAGTCACCGGACTGTAGGACAACACCGTTAATTTAGATTCTTCTCTTTTTGAGGACAACACAGCTACCACCGTCCTCTCTGTTACACTGCCTGCAGAAGAATTTGCCTTAATCAGATTTCGATTTTATTTTTTACTTGTTTTTTTTTTTTTAAGAGAAGATGTAGGTGGAGAGTGACAGGTCTTCACTGTCAGTCCGGCATTTTTTTAAGCACTCACCTTTCTCTCCTCTGTCTTCATCTCTATGCTGTGTCTCTCTGTAAATCTATTCAGTCATGCCTACTCAGTCAACTTTCCTTTAGTGTATTTGAGCTCTTCTGATAGGTTGTTGTTGTTTTTTTATCTCTTCATCAAAATAAAAGGGTAAAGTAAACCTGTTCTCATAATTTTAGGTGACTTGTTGGGCATTTGTATGAGACAGTGCTATTTTCCATGTCTCTCTATGTATTTAATCTTACTTCCACAGTGACACTGTGATCATTTGTGTACTCTACATGTAAAAGAATAGCATTTTTTAAAAACTATCCCAGAAAATACTCCAAAGCTGACCCTACACGAAAATGGAAATATTGCAGACATCCTCAAGACCCAAATGCTAAAGTAAACATTAATTAGAAACCCAGTTACACAAACACATGAATACATGTGCATCAACAAAGCCCTCACAGATCTCAGAGCAAAGATGAGGGCAGATTGTTAGATGTGTTGCCTATGGTCATTATTAAAGAGTCCTTAACTCTATTCCAGATACACCCATGAGGACATGACTGTGTCTTATTTATGCCCCTGCTTTATAATCATAGTAGTGCAATATATCTGACTTTATATTAGTTAGATTTTAAGTTAAACAATTCTAATCTTAAAAGAAAGAATATTGTTATTGAAAAAATAAAACCAAATCTTTAACGAACCAAAAGGATTGTGCACGGCTGGTCGGTTAGACTTAGTCTGCCTTGATGTCTAATTAGTTGTCTGACTGATTCATATGTTGACAGACAAACTGACTGACTGTTACTGAAGAGGACTTGAAGGACTGGCAGTCTTCGTCTTCTGGTCATTGGTTGGCTGCTCAAATAATCTTATTAACTGCTGAACTGCCCTGCTTTCTTTATGGCTAAATAGCTGGGAGTTAATCGCACTGACCAACTGGCCAAATATGTGACCGGATAGATGATTATGTACTGTGATTGCAGTAATTGCTTAATAAATGGACTGCCTGACCAAGTAACTGACAAAGGCTGTGACTCACTGCCTGCCTTGCTTCTCTGGTCATGTGAACAGATAGCTCGCAGGCTGGTGAGATGTCTCTTGCTATGTAAAAATCTGGCTTTTAAAATGCTGCAATCCAGTTGGGGGGTTGAGGGGGAGTGAATGAATGACTGGACAGTTAGGTTGACTGTCCATTGCATTGGGGTTCGTCTTCTCACCAGGCTAGCTGACTGGCTTACATAGCAAGTCATTTCTGCCTTTTTGGCACCAGAGTGAAGTGTTTCATGTCTTATCAGCCCCAACCATTTGCTTCTACAAAGCTGTTCTCCCTCTCTCACACACCCCTTTCCCTTCTTTGCTTGCTCCCTCGCTTCTTCTCCATTTTTCTTTTTTTGTCACATTCTCTCTTTCTCTTAATCTCTCCTTCACACTTTCCTCCTTGCTGTTTCTATCGTCTATTCTCCTTGTAGCGATCACTGTTTGTATTCTGATCTCCTCCCTCATCTTTCTTCTGTAGTTTCTTACAGCCAAAACGCCCTGCATCCCTCTCATCCTGCTAGTCTCGTTCCCATTACCATCCTTCTTTCCTTTCAACCTCCTGATTCTTATTTCTTCCTCTCTTCTCCCCTCCCATTCCTTGCACTAACTCATGATGCCACATTAGGCAACACCCAAACATGATGCTTTTTCCCAGCAGTAAATACATGCGCTAACATCTTGTACACACACAAACTCACTCACTCACAGCAAGACAAAAGTGTCTGGAGCAAACTGATAACAAACCTTAAGGAGGCATTAAAGTGATACACTGCCACTTTTGCCAGAGCTTCAGCTAAAATGTGTGTGTCCATACATATAGTATATCCTTTCGTGTGTATCGGCTTACATAAAACTAAATTAACTCAGCAAAGTAGACTTGTCAGACTTCAAGCATTTGACCTTGTAATTGAGATGGCTGCATTCTCCTTAACACAAGCTGACTAAAAGATTCCCGCTGAGAATCAGTGATTAAAGATGAAGCAAACAAGCGCTCAAGGTTATTTTTTAAGGAAGGGACCCGATAAGGCGCTTCCATTTCAGGGTCAGCAAAGAAAGTTGTTTGGACGTGACAGGATTGGATTCACAGAATTAACTATAAAGCTGACAATAAAAATAAATAAAATAAATAAATATGCATTAGAAGATATTTCCATTTGCCAACTGCCAAGAGTTTGATTTGGACAATAATGCTGTTCTCCATTTGACACTACAGCATGTGCACGAATACTTGTGGATATGATTTTAAGTTGATTATTACATAAACCTTAAACCAATTATATCAGAAACAATCTCAAATTCAAATTAAGCTCCAAAAATAGGAATGGAGTGGTTTATTCAAAATGAAAATGGGAAATAGGTGTAGCAGTTTATTGAAACATGTGCAAAGATACATGGAAATAGAGATATATAAATAAATAAATAGCTTGTTACAATTCTAACAAGCTTGAAAGGTATGACACCTTAAACGTTCAACACAGTCTGAACTCTCTTAGCTGAACTGTAGTTCTCCAATCTTCTTGAATGACATTCAAAGCTCCACTTTGAATGTTGGCTGCCTTTTTGTTCTGTTCTCGTTCAAGATTATCCCACACTTCTTTAATCATGTTGAGGTCCAGGCTCTGTTTAGGCTAAATCCTGACTGAGAGTGTTCCACTGTGTGTGTTTTTTATCAAGGTATGCTTTCACTGCATTGGCAGTATATTTGGGATCACTGTCATGTTGAAACATGAAACTGTTGCCAATCAGATGCTTACCAGATGGTACCTTTTTGTGTTCATAATTCATTTTGAAACGATCCCCAACCCCACTAGCTGAAAAGCTGCTCTAAACCACGACAGTACCTCCACCGTGTTTTACGGATGGATGTAGAGAGCAACAGAACTATTGCTCAAGACCGCTTTAAAAAATCACTGAGGAGATGTATGTTGTATTTTTCAGCTAATCCTTTGGTTGCATTCATTCCAATGGACAGTTGTGCTAAGCTAACCGTCTCATGGCTGCAGCTTCATAATTAACTTACAGAATTAGAGTGGTATCAGTCTAGCTCTGAGCACATATATGTTAATGGAAACTATTAAGGTTATAGATAGTGCTTTAAACATGCAACCACATCAATCAGATTATAATATTACATACGTTTGAGTTTCCTTATTTCCTTATATATATTTGTACAAGTTGTCTGCATAACAACTGGTTCCAGCATTCAAAGCACTTGTACTTTAAAAGATGATTTCCTCACACTATCGCTTTCCTCTTACTTTTTATCCCTGGTATGCGATTGTGATGCCTCTGTGCATCTGTTTCATTTACATGAAACTGCTTTGCTTTTCACATGATTGATGTATAGTTTGTGGAATTTGTGCCCCGGAAGCTGCTAATGTATCTGATAATCATATTTTTGGGAGAAATGTTTTGTTCTTTTATGTTTTGTTTTCTTTGTATGTTATGAAACTGAGCACCAAAGGGCAAATGTTTGTATTTAATGATGACGATGATTGTCTTGGTAGTGCAAATGTTCAGCATTAATATTCAACATAAATTAAGAACTGATTTGAATGCTTGGCTTCAAAAGAAACAGATTTTCTTAATAGTCTTTTACTGAAAAGTGGAGAATTTTTTCTTTTTTTTTGCAAAAAGCACCTCTGTAATGTGTATTTGTTTTTGGATTGTCTAAATGTATTGTTATTTTCTGTATGGTTTTTTTTTTACCTTGTTTATGTGGAAGAACAAAAAGGCGTGCACGTCCTAAGCAAACTAAAAAAAAATGATGATGAACTCATTTAAAAAATAATATTTTAGAAAAAGAAATGTTTACAGCTATCCGAGCAGCTTTTTCAGGTTGTGAACATGCTTAAAATAACAATGATAATACTTTATCTTGATGTTTTTTGGGTTTGTTTTATTTTGGTGGTGGCCAAAATCAAAATACCAGACTGGAGTCTTCAGAATGGTAATCCTCAATCCAGTGAGCAGTGTCAGGATGTCCAGCAGAGGCGGTGGGGAATGCTTTTAATTTTCAAGATATTTACTCATAAACCAAATTAGGAATCAGATAATATAAGACAGAAATTCTTCTGCAGTATAAATCATCTTTACATTTAGATAAATGCAAAGTCATTAAATACCCCCACTGAGAAGAATTTCTCATTTTACGCCTCAGTCGTACACAAGTGCACAAGTAAATGGTTTCATTTCAAGCTCTTTGTTTGCTGAAGAGAATAAGGATCAATCTATAAATCCAACTTCCCTTTGAAGGATTTGTTTGTATCGCTCAGCTCCTGTTGTGAGATGGTTTTAATCCCTCTGCATGCCTTCCTTTGAGCTAGACCTTTTCTTAATGTAATTCAATTTCCCAGATTGAAGATTCTCCCATTGATTTCATCCAGATCTGTGTTCTTTATTGCTCATTTGACCTCTTTGATTCATGTCAGCATAAAAATTCTCCTTGATTAAACTGTACTTGAGTTTGGTGTGAATCAATTTCGCGAATGAAGAATTCAAATGTTATCGTTTTGTATGTGTTTTATCGTCCACATTTACTGTTTCATAGCTCGGCCGTGTTGGGTATTATACCGGGCCTGTTTGATTAAACAGATGAGATTAGTCTTTGATTAAAACAGGTTTGATAACATTTTAATAGGCTTTGTTTCATGTGGATTACAGGGTAAGCTGCCTCAGGCATAATACCATTACTCACTGCTTCTGATAGATGCACTGTCACTCAAAAGACTCTCTGCGTCTGTGTGCGTTTCTTTTCTCTGTGGATATCCTACGTGCAGCGATGCATTTGTGCTATTCCTAATACACCGACCACCTCACATTAAACTCACTCTTTTCGCTTTCATCTTTGATAACTGCATGCACAGAATTCATTTCGCCTAAAAGCACCAGTCTCCTCTGCTTTTTCTTCTCCTTCTTTGTATTTTTCTTCCCTCTCATACATTTCTCTCTTCTCAGCATTAGTGTTGCACTAATTCAGGTGAGGGTCCCTGTGGAGTCATGTAGACGAAGGCATATAACACAGTGCTGCAAGTTAGAAAAACAAGATATAAAACTTCACCTTGTAAAAACCATCTGTAATATATAGATATTTTCCCATTTTATCAACTATCATTTTTTTTTATCAAGTTCTGGCTTCTGTGTTTTACTAACAAGGTAGTTTGTGTGTGAGATTTTATGTTACTACACAGTTACTAACACATGAATCGGATAATGTGATGGTGGGTTATATGGACATGGTCCTGTATGTACGCTAAGATATCGTAGGGTGATGTGTATGTAGTTTATAAAATTCAGCTGATTTGCTCTTTGGTCTTTTATTCAATCCTGTAGCTTTGCATTATTTTCATATCTTGTAGAGATTTGTTACTCAAAAATTGTTTTTACAAAAAGAAGTTCAATATAAGCTTCTCCTTAAAATCTATATACATGTCTATTTTTCACAAGAATAACATAAATTTTCTTTGTACGTGTTTCATGCGTGGTGCATTGTTCGTAAGCAGACTGGTTCCTCTTAATTCCTGCCATCATGTTCGTCCAAACAGCTGTCCTTCTTCCCTTATGCTGGTTTTGTAGGAGGGTCCTTACGTGATGCTGAAGAAGAACTGGGAGCTTTATGAGGGCAACGACCAGTATGAGGGATACTGTGTGGACCTTGCCTCTGAGATTGCCAAACACATCGGAATTAAATACAAGATCTCCATTGTACCAGATGGGAAATACGGAGCGAGGGATCCAGAGACAAAGATATGGAATGGCATGGTTGGCGAGCTTGTGTACGGGGTAAGGATGGAAAAATTGCAGCATGCAAGGAATGCTTTGAATTTTGTTCTGGATTTTCTGTTAAGTATCAGAGTATGGCGTTTAAGTGAAATCACAATGACATTACAACAGCATCACAAATCACATCCTGTTATGGTGCACTTCGGTGCCTTTTGGCAAAAACTTCTATAATCTTTGCAGAGGTCGTATGAGCTGCAGAGACATTACATCATGCAATGACCGAGAAATTCTCAAAATGACTCCCTGCAGTATAGCAACTCTCACAAGCTCTGCATCTCCATAGTTGCCAAGTTAGCTTCCCACTGAGATGTAATGTCACGGCAGGTTCACTTATTTCTTGAGATTTTTGCCACGCTGGTTAATTATGCCATATACTCCCAGGCACAGTCTGAGATCTCACAATGCTGTCTGAATACAAACTTTATTTGCACACACAAGACAATGTCAGTCGTCGATTTGACGAAGAGTGAAAGCGGAGACGTTGCAGCAGAACACCGACAGAATTAATTACCCTCCAGAATCTGGAAGGTGACACAGCAGAACATTGACTAATCGGGTTTGATTTGCATCAAACACTCACAGTCCGTCCTGATAACTCTTCTTCCACACATAGAAAATACTGTACTGCACTTGTAGTCTTTGTCTTTTGTTTGTTGTACTTTACCC